GATTCAGTGATAAAATCAGTGACTTACCGCCACCTGCTGGCAGTTTTAGTTTCATTTTTAAAGTATCTTTTCAGTTATTTAAATTCTTTAGTGTAGATGCATATTGATTTTATCAGACATGTTATCATTACAGTAAAATAGGGCATTCTAAGTCAATATACTGCAGTATTTCCTCTCTCAATCAGTAGAAAATATGGTTAACACCTGGTCATGCATGAAAAAAAAATACCGTCATGTACCGTGAAACCGGTATAATTTAGAAAAATACTGTGATATAAATTTTTGGTCATACCGCCCAGCACTATTCTTGCTTATCCGAAAAATCATCCGATCTGTGACTCGAGTCAAAAACCACAATATGATACGCTGAATCAACCACATAACCCCCCCTCCCCCCTCCAGCCGGTCTGCGAGAATATTTTGAACACGTAACCAGTCTGTGGTGTAAAAATTTGTGAATCGCTATCTTTTCATAAAAATGAGAATCGATTAAAATCGAGAAAGCGATATTTTTTTTTTTACGGGCTCATTACTGATGGATTCGTGTAGCTTTGTTCAATCATGTCTGCTAAGATGCAGATGGCACTGGCTTTGTCAGCCCTCTGTCGTTGTCTTGTGGTTAAAGAAAGAAAGAAGCGGGTAGAATGACAACAAGTGTTGTCCGTCATTGATTTGTCAGTTCAGTTTTTTTTAAATTGAAAAAGTTCTCTTTTTCGCCCACTGTCGATTAGACTTTTGCAGATTCAATCGGCTGAAAAACAGCTGGCTGTGTCCAACTAGAGCCAAAAACTAAAGCCGCCTGACGCCCAGAAACGGCCCGACCGTCGGCTCGGTGTGTCACAGGCTTTAGCTTTAATATCTAAGCAGCAGCAGCTGAACTCATTTTTATTGTTTGTATTGCTATAATATAATAATAATAATAATAAAAAAATTAACATTGATATTTAAGCCAGAGCAAATAGGGATGCGCAGTATATTGGTGCAATATCAGTTACACTTTTTTTATTTACCAATATTGGACATTATTGGATATCTATCAGCTGTTATTGGATATTTAATTGTTTCAACTCATTTTAAATTCATCTTTCACTAATTTAATGGGCTAACGATCGATTATGGCAAAGGTTTACGCTTGAAAAGTGCATTAAACCCTTTAAAGTGTGCATTTTTGCATATTACAATAGTTTTTGCTATGTTTTCATTTTCTTTTTTAAAAAAGTCGTTTGAATTTGTAATATCGGCCTATTTATTTATTGATGATCAGCCATAGCATGAAAATGGTGCATATTTTTTTTTAATCGTATCAAAGTTCAGACTGCAGTGTTAGTTGAAGTAACCACAATATGACTTGTTTGACCAAATCATGCAGTCCTTATGTCTGGTCAGTTTCTTTCTCTGATACAGCAGGTGATTTGTGTCTGATCTGTGACGGTTCGATTGACTGAGATGATGTTCTCGGCTCTGATTGACAGAAGGATGGAGAGGAGCGGGTGATAAAGAGAAGGAAAAAGTAGCAGGTCGGCGGCCTGGAGGAGAAGAAACCCAGGAAATTCAAAGTACCCAAACCAGGGTGAGTTCAGACGCGCTGTTTTGAGTCGTGTTTCAGTGTGAACAAGCACTAAACGCACGTCTTTGACCTCTCACTGCTCTTCTTAAAATGCTCTGACGAATGAAACCAAGTTCAGCTTTTTAAAAGGCATCTCTAGACCCTGATGCCTTTTCCGTTCCTCAGCTCTGCGTCTCGTTTGATGAGACTGTTTCAGTATTTGCATTTGTTCATGAATGTCTAAATAAATATGTTGTCAGCTTGTATTGCAATAATACATTGACTAGTTTGTGAACATGGTAAAAGTTTAAACAATTGTCGTTCTGAACCTGTATTAATTTTTCGGTGGAATATAAAATATGTGTATGATGTGATTATGTATCAATATGACTTGAAATTAATAATAATTAATTATTATTAT